TATATTGGATATGCGGTGTTATTTGAGAGCTTTCTCAAATCCTGTTCGGAAAACTCGGCACCGTGGGGTACGTACACTATATGTCGTTCGATTGATGAGACTCGTTCAATGGCATGTTGTGAGCGTTGAATATCCATGCAGTTCGGCTCTCCTGTGGTGTGGTAAAATATTTTAGGCAGTTAAACCTTTGTAGATTGACATGGCGGAGTGTACGGTGCCGTAAAAAAGATCAGCATAATATAAAACAAACGTTCCAGTTGCTTTTTGTTCTGTCACGCACGGAGTCACCGAAACAGCTTTGATTTCTTTGCTTTTGTTCCCAAAAATAGTACAATGCATTCTTAAAAAACCGAGAAATGTTATTCGCCATAGAACACAAAGTAAAATAACTGCATCTCCATGTGGTGAATGATGTTGACTGGGGCGAAGCTCTGGTGCTGCTTGTCTGCGTACACGCTGAGCCATAGCATGCCGAACCTTTCGTTCGTCTTCATCCATGTCAGAAAGAGAATGTGTGGTATGAAACGTGGTTATATACGCGTTTGAGCATTTGACCGCAGCGCCCTCTCGTCTATAAACGTTGAGCCAATGCCTGCAAAGTTTATCGCGATTATATACGCATTTGACCGCAGCGCCCTCTCCTGTATAGACGTTGAGCGGCTACATGCAACGTTTCATCCATCACATTCCCAGCTCTTGAGTTACTACCACATCTCAGATCCCGCAGTCGTGGCCGAGTGGTTAAGGTGATGTAGTAGAAATCCATTGGGGTTTTCTCGCACAGGTTCGAATCCTGTCGACTGCGCAAACATTTCTTTTTTTCTTTTCTTTTTTTGCATCATTTCTTTTGCCCTACACGAGCACGTGAGCTCACGAGCACGATCACGAGCACGAGCACCGGCAAGATCGACGTGAGCACGGACGCCGGACGGAAAAGGCTAGACCCTAAGGAGCTTCGACCCCAAAATAGAACGCGGCAACTTAGCCTCCACCAGCGTCCGGAAGTGCGCCTAGGCAGGCTGCCACAGCCCACTGACTAGAAAACCCACAGTCCAGCGCAGTCGGGCAACACTGACGTACCCTCTCAAAACCAGGGACGCGCGCTGTAAATCGCTTGGTTTGAGATCGCCGCTGGAGTCGGAAGTTTCATCCTCTGAGACGAGGTGTAACATCAGCGAGCCTGTTAAAAATATTTTTTATCGTTTGTTCTGCACGAAGTATAGTATCCTTACATAAAAGTGTGCACTCTACAGCGTCCAGGCGTATACCGCTACAAGGAGTTCACAGAACCGTTAAATCGCGCTACCAGAGATTCAAAAGTAGTCAACGCATAGGCGGCTGAGACTGCGTTTTTCATAAAGAATGTTTTTGAAGCTTTTTAGATTAAAAAGAAGAAAAAAAACCGCGAAAGCTGCATTAGTGCTGTCTGTGCAGGTGAGTATGCGGCCATGAGACATAATATAGGGGTTGTCACGACAAGTGAAATGACTAACAAAAATGTGTTGATCAATTTTACATATGAAAAAACAAAGAGATAGTTTGAATTAGAAACTTCGGGAGCGTAGTCGAAATTCACTAAATCACAAAACTTTAGGAAAAGTTTTGTTTCGTGGGAAGCACGGTTGTGCGCTAAAGCTACCACGTGCGCTACAGAGCAAGACTGGCGGTGCAAAATTGCAAGTAATGAAATAAAAAAACCGCGGGGGCACGTGGAAATTGGGTATATATTTGGAGCCCAGGATAGCGAAACACGCTCCCAGAATGCCACAAAATGCACGCTAAATTAAGCAAAAACGCGTTCCACTGAACTTAGCAAAAAAATTTACCCGCTTTATTTAGTAGAAAATTTTCTCCCGTAGATTTAGCGGAGATTGTGGAGGCGCGTGACGCGACGTCCTATGGCACTATGGCGCAAAAATGTCACGTCATGCTCACTGCTAAATTTAGTAGAGAAAATTTCCGCACATTTATCGGGGCGCAACGTACGCACACAAAACAAGGGATATGCTGCGAAGCTGTCCTGACGACGGCTATTGCCGTAAAAGTGCGTTAGCCGCCTTTAGACATTACTTTTCATTGAATTCATGAACAGCACATAAATATGGTACACGGAAACATAGGCAGCTATGATATTCAAAAGCGAAGTAAAACTACTGCCGTGGGGCATCAGACGAACTTCGCTAACGCCTGGGATCTGGTAGGTCACAGGTGTCGTGGCGTCATTGTCGTCCATCCAATCCAGCTGTTACGGCTTCGCTGAAGAAACCATGCTACGTTTCGCTGAGTTCAGAAAATCATGTCTATCTTCACGTCAAAATGGGTTCGCATTTGAAGTACATTGTCTGCCCATTATACTTCAACCTCAGGTGTTTCACAGAGTTCTACTCAGGGGTCAATTATTTTTTTATTGTTATAAATGATATTGCTTTTGCTGTTAGACGTGCTAAGATTTGCTTTCGTTTTCCCCCCTAGGATATTAAGCTTTATTTATCGGTTCGTGGTTCTGACGATTGTTTATTACTGCAGGAAGATGTAAATCATCTGTCAATATGGTCCCTAAGCAATCATATTTCTTAACGCGCATAAAACTGAAATTCTTTCATTGTCCAGGAAGCGTGACCAGATTGATTTTCGCTATGCACTACCCGTAGAAGCCATAACGCAGCGCGTATCTACAGTTCATGACCTTGCCGTTCTTGGGGATATTCGTCTTATTTTCAAAGACCAGGCTACATCAATTGTCGCTAGATCCCTTGGTATACATAGTGGGTGCGGATTCACGTATGGCGCGTGAGTTTTCTTGGCTTAAATATTTAGTCCGTTTATTTTGCTCTTTTGCACGTTCAAAATTTCAATTTAGTTCCTCTGTATGTAAGTCTTTGACTGCCAATTAGAGCACAAAAATTAAGCGCGTCAAGAAGCGTCTGGTGAGAAATTCAACAGAAGGAACATGTTAAAATTTTTCGTTACGTAGACGATTATTTGGTGAGTGTTTCCCGCCCTGTAATTGCGGATGATCAAGCGATCGCCGGTTTTTTTTTTTAAACTGTTCGCAAGCTGCGCTTTCGGCTTAAAATTCACCCACGAGACATCGGTCTCTGGTCGACTGCAGTTTTTGGATCTTGGGTTATCTTTCGGTGCGGAGCATACCTGCTGGGCGTATGAGCCCCGTTCCAAGAAAGGAATGTTGCCATTCAGCTCGGCGCACGCCAAGTTAGTGAAGAGGGGCATTGCTTCATCTTGCCTAAAGGGCGCACTAAAGAAATCGTGCCCCCACCGGATGAAAAACAGTTTTCATTCTCAACTCCGCAGACTGGAAGAGGCAGGGTACCCCCGTCATGTTCTCCGAGATGTTTCAGAGTCCTTAGAAAAAAAGATGAAAAAAGACAACAGCGCAGTGTGCGAAAGGGCTCCCAAGAGGGTAGAAAGGCCTGTTGCCTTGCCTTACATTCAGAAGATGTCCCACAATCTGAAGAATGTGGCCCATCCCTTTGACATACCAATCCTTTTTTCAGCATCGAATAAACTATCTTCACTGTGTAAAAGGATAAGCAGATTAGGAGAGGAATTGGATGTGCCACAAGAGTCGTGCAAATAACGGCATGTCACTAAGTTCCGCGAGTGCGCAACCAGTGTCGCGTACAAAATCCCCTTGTCACGTGGTAAGATGTACGTTGGCCAGACTGGGAGGTACATTAATGATAGGGTCAGAAAGCATGCGTTGGCGATTAGGCAGTCCCCGTCTGGCCACTTAGCCGTCCACTGTGACCGTTGTGATTGCGGCCCAACTCTGAAAAGTGCAGCCCCATCTTTGGTGACACCTGTGTCATGGGCAATTACAAAACAAAAACAGCAAGAGAAATTCACGAGGCCTTCCTGATTAGGTCCCACCACGACAATACTTGTATAAGCGCTCCTTCTTTGTCCTTGACTGATAAAGAATTCTACTATTTGAAGAACCAATGACGCTGGCATTTGAGGGGGGGGGGGGGGGGGTGTTTTTAGACCATATCTTTGGTGTTCTGCCAAGTGTGCCTGCTTTTATATTTTATGTATTTTTTTTAATTCTGTCATTCAAATAAACAATTCAGTTGAAAGTTACGCCGCGTCCTGTCTAGTGCTCCCTTTGTTTTTTGTCCCAGTTGTTTTGGCGTATTACACTATGATTTTAAAATACTTCTATTGTCCCTCGGCCGGCTTCGAACCGGAGCCCTTTCGTTCAGGAGTAGCAGGCAGAATCACGAGGGAGGAGGAGGGAGGTGGGGTATGCTCTCCCCTCAGTACCCTTCCCTACTCCTCCTCAAGAGCTGCGCTCCAATTCGGCGTTACAGAGGCTTGTAACCGGCTTTCATTTTTTTCAGTAATGCTTATACTCTTTAAGGGTGAAGCTGTTCAGTGTTCTAATGTATTCGGTCAATGCTTTGGATTCTATTTTTTTCTTTCAGTGTTCCGATAAGAAAACTTTCATGGCTGTTTTTGGACACTACCAGAAAATAAAACATTAATATTACAAAAAGGTTGCTGTCCGCCGAACAGCCGCCTTGCACCGTCCCGGCCAGGTTTCGGGACGGCCAGGGGTTAAGCAGGAGCCACAGGTCTACTATGTCGCGGGAAGTCAGGAAGAGCAAGAAAGCAGCCCGCCTTAGGCCAGCCAAATCAGTACTCAATACCACTCCGTCGTCGTCGTGGTCGACCATCATTACATTCAGGGTTGAGGTGTGTCTGAACTTGGCTAGCTTTGCTGCTTTGAGCCTCATGCAGAAGAAACATATTTCTGCTGTTGCTATTCTAATCAGTTTGGTAATTGAGTCTGTGCAAAATATGTAGACTTCACGCGGAGACGCTGGGTAACTAGATACAAAGAAGGATATTTTATTTTCTGCAACACTCTAAACATCCATGCAATACAAGGGATTTGGTTCGAAGCTTAGACATATGATTTCAGTATTTGTTGTAATAATATAGAGATCTGAAAGGTTTTTAGATTTTTCTAAAACATATTAAATATAGGTGAAGGATTCTGTATTGTTTGCTGCCTTACATGTACATTTACTAGGATCTTGAACGCACGGAAAGATGAAGTTGTCCACGAAGGGCTTAGTTCTAACAAAGTACATTGGGAGATGGGTGACGTTGCATGGCCATTCAGTAGCGGTTATTAGTCCCATCAAGGTCCAGCGGCCATCCTGTGCCTTGAACACCAACGGGCCTCCACTGTCGCCCTGTTTAAGAAATGAAAGGGGAACAGAATAAATTGAAGGGCTAAATAACGGAAATCCACGCAGAAGCTAATTTACGTTCTTTCACGCTTAAGAGATAGCGCAGTGTGGGGCAGCCATTTCGCAAGTTTGACGCCCTGCATTTTTGTGTCGAAAACACCTGTGGCTTGTATTTACTAATCAATGCACTCTCATTGAAAGGTACTTGGAATACACCGTGTCTGCGCGGCGACACACTTTTAATTCGAGTTGTAACTCAAAATTTACGTTAACCACATTAACGAATATTTGAGTGGTGGCATGGGTTTAATTTACAATTTCTAATATTACTGAAAGCAGTATAGGCACACCAGTATAAACACCAAAAGGCTGACGGGTCTGCTTATTGCTGTCTATCTTGATTGAATAACACTTTTCTGTCCGATACTCTTGAATCTTTAGAAGTTCTAACAATCAGTTCTAAAATTACCAATCAAAATTTCGTGCTCACCACAAATACCACTGCATGAAAGAGCTACGCTGGGGGTCGTAAAGAAGCTTGAGTGCACCTTGACTCCTCTTTGTCAGGGCTTGTTTCTATATGAAGGTGTTTTCTGAACGGGCAGTGTAGTGGAATCGACGTGCTTGCTTGACCAGTTATACGTCTATTTTTCTCCACACGATAGCGCTCCCGCCCATACTAGCGCCACGAGAGCGGAGTCAGATGATGAGAGGGAGGCGATTGATTGACCCGGCAAGCCCGTAGCTTTCACCACACTGCCAGCTTAGGGGTGAACGAAGTATAGGAAGAATGCTTAATATTCAGAGTTTGTTCGTATGCCTAAATAATAGTCATGGAGGCAGTCTATCCTGACGAAAGAAATCAGAGAAAAACCAAGAACCAAAAAACAGACAAGTCACATGACTTCCGGTCCAAAAAAGAAATATATCGAGGAAAGTAGTTGTTGTAGGGATCAAGGTGCAGGATAGCTGCGGGGAGGAGCTTCAGTTGTTCCGCCCCCAGCGCGAGCTTCCGACATTAAACAACGCTTTGACCTCTCGTGCACCTCAAGGTCGCGTGCGCTGCCAAAGCACAGTTGAAGGCGCTGAGAGTTTGCTGGCAAATGAGCGTTGTGAAGACACTCCCTATCATTTTCATTCTGTCAGTGAGCACAATCGACAGCGTTCTTGATTGATGACGCTAGAAAATGGTGCATTCTGAGTTTTTACAGTATTAATATTACCGGGACTGGCTGCACCCCGTCTTCTTTGGGCTGCCAGATGTTTTTAGGGCCATTGAGCGCATGCGAACAGTACGTAAGATATTTGTATTGACTGTAGATGTTTTTAAATGTCGTCGAAAAGACGATCGGTATATTTAGTTTTTCAGACTTGCCTTATCTTAACTTAATGGTGCATATCATACTAAGAAATGGTTATACTCACCATGCATACAGATCCAAAGTCGTGCATAGCGCAAACGATATTTGCATGAGGTGACGAGTAGTTATACAGCTTATCGCATTCCTCATTTGGGATTAACTGAACCCGGGCTTCTTGGAGTATATCAGGATTTGTATTTTTGAATTGGGGCACTGGTGCCGCACCATAGTAGTCATAATACTCGGTTGTGTCTGAAATATAAAATCAGATGAAGGCCGAGGGATTAAGCTGACCATGAAACATTTTTTTCGTAATTCTAACTGAGTTTGGAAACCGTGAAAATTTCTCTAAATGAGCTCTATCTTACGAGATTGGTCTTCACGATTTGAATTTTAAGAAAAATTAAAGAACGCAAGAACGGTTTTGACTGCGAGATTGACTTTAGTATATCTGTATTTTCTCTCCAGGCAAAATTGCTTAACGTTTGTCGTATGACAAACGTTAAGCAAACAAACGTCTTAAAGATATTAAATCCCTGGAGAAGGAAAGCAAGTAGTACAAAGGAGAAGCACAAATTTTAGACAGAGCTCAGTGACCTGCACGCGACTGGAAAATCCGCCTGGTCATGGTTGTTAGAGCGCTCTACTGGAAATAGAGACGTCCCTGGTTCGATACCAGGACCAGAAGGATTTTTTGAAGTAGCGCAAGGGTCACCAAGCTGTGTTTGGGGATTTATGTTTTTCCTAACGCTAATAATCCGAAGGGATTATTAGCGTTATTTTTGTCCAGCTCGCTTGCACCTTTGTACTAATTACATTATTATCAAAAGGAATCTTGTTAGTTATGAATACGAATATAGGTCTTGAACGTCGCTAAAAGTAGGGTAGCTGGATTTAAACCCCCGGAAATTAAATGATGAGATCATGAGAGTTGGAATGCTGGAACACCTTTAGCAACGCGTTCAAACAGAGTTTCGCCATGAGAACCCTGATTCTGAGTTTTCAAATTAAGTTTGTTCTAGTGAGCTATACTATAAGTATTATATGTCTAGAGGTACTGCATACCTATATCTACAGTTATTTTTTAGCATGAAGGGTATCACGGAATCACGCTCTCAATGGCACTAGGATGTCAGTATAAGGTGAGGGAAATACCTAGTGAAGATAAAGTTATTTTTGTACTAGATATTTGGAGAGTTTCTGCCCCAGAAGCATTAACCAAATGGATACGTTAACATAAGCTCTTAGACGCGTTTATAGCAAGCCAATACTGCAGCAACATTCCTAAAAGGGCGCTGACACCCCAAACGTCGTATTTTTTGTTGTTGAAAACGATACAAATTGTAGTCCTAAAAGCACGAAAAATACCACAAAGCAAAAAAAAAAAAAACATTTTCTACAAGCGAGCGCGCCTTCTTTTCGGCGCCCTCCTCGTATCGTTTCATTTGTGGCGCGAACAATATGAAATTTAGAAGATTTGTAAGTGACATTTCTTAAATATTTAATAGGGACAATCGTAGAACATGTTTTTAACGCAATTGTGAACGCACTACGGCCCTTGTTTTGGAAATACCGAAAATCAGAGTCTGAAGTAGCGTCGCCTGCCGGCTTTGTATCATCCCTCAGTAAGCATGGCGGTGCTGGCGGCGCACGGCATATGTGGCAATGAGGATGATCGGTGAGTCGGGGAATGGGCCGAAGTTCTCTTCTTTAAATGCCCGATTACCTCTCAGAGTTCGAAAAGTAAATCGTCAAGCGGCCACGACAACTGCGTTCGGTATCTGTTTTACCGTAGTTTCGGTGGTAACTCCGCCGGGGCAGCCTTTCACGCAGAACCGGCGCGACGTGGCCCCTCACGTCGCTGACAAAGTCCACTGCGCGTCCTCTTCGACCTCGCACCGTTTCAAAGAAATTGAGATCGCTGAAAGGGGCCTAAAATAACTTCAAACTCGAAAGTGAAGCGCCGTCTGCTCACAGCAGCAGGCGGCGGGCGCGAAGAAGAGAGTCTGATCGCGGAACGCGATCAGACTCTCTTCGGGACGGGATGGTTTGGAGACTTCGGGACGGGATGGTTTGGAGGCGTGAAAGAAACTTGAGTTGCAGGACAATTCAATCTCTGACGTCACTGCACTAGCGCGGATCGCGTCGGAAGCTTAAATTCGGCTTTGGGGAATTGCTTTTTTACTTCACAAAAGCTGAGTTCCCAAGTTTCGAAGTTTGAGGATGATGTCCGGGCATCGTTTTCAATCATTTCGCATTGTAAAGAAAATCTTATTTTGACCAGTTAGCGACGTTTAAGAACATCTGAGTGCATCGGTATACCCCACCTTCAGTTACTTCTTGGGATTTTTTCTCGGAGCCGAAGGTTGCTATCAACAAATCTTCTTTGGCATGTGACTCGTCCATATTTTCAGACAAAGACTGGTTATTCCACATCATCGCTGCAAAAAGGAGTAGAAAAAAAAAGATATATATATTATTGTAGCTAGATTCTGTAGGTGCTAGCATTTAAGAGCGCATCAACATGGATAAATGATTACAACAAATTGTTGCGAGTGTAGCCCCGAGTAATATGCATGTATTATAATAAACTATATTGCTAATAGAATTTATTAAAGCATTGGAAAATCAGTGTGCCGTGGTCGTATGCGGAGCGAAGGCGATTTTATTGTTGTTTGGCACCATGCATCACAATTGCCCTCTGCAGGTTTGATACACACGGTGAGGACTTCAGAATACACATTATAACCACAATGTATTTAGACGTTTTGTAAACCAATATGGACACTTTTTAGAACGGTTTTTTTAGATTTGGGTCTTGCATCGAGGATTTGGCTAGTATTGAGTTACACGAAGAAAAGTTAGTGATACCAGCAAGCGAGAGCTCAGTTTTGTATCGAATTTAATGCGTTCGCATCACTACGGCGCTTAATAACGCCATGCCGATTTTACCAGTTAGCAAAGAACACCTAAATTACGTTTCGTTTGCTTTTTTAAAAATTTTTATAAACGGGGATGAATTCTACTCGATTTACGCGTATGCCAAAAGCATTATCCCAAAACAACTGCCTTGGGCTTTCTGAAGAAATACAGTGTTTTTATTTATCGGCTTATATGAATAAGTGAACCATAAATTTCTTTGACAGGAATTTAGCGGCCTCAACTTTGATTTGCTGCCAGAACCTTTGATTTCGTTTTTGACGCTATAATCACTGTAGCTGACTCGGACGCGTTCATAGTTATTCTATAAATATCTGGTATCTGGTATAATTCCTACCAAAGTGCTTTCATGAGATAGTTCCTTACGGAACTTTTCCGTTCCGAACCGTCCGGCTCATACAGAGCACCAAGTAAGCTTACGTGATGACAATGGAAACACGTTTAAAAAAAGCATATTGCAAGAAACAAAAAAGGAAAAGAAAGTGCCAGAGGTTTATGTAACATTTCAAACATTTTCTTAGGAGCAAGTATTAAATTGTGGATTTTTTTTACGATGACCGCTGATTTTAAAACCGTAGGAAAATTAGTATAGGTGCTGCTCCACCGCACATTGAATTTCTAATGTTTTAAAAAGTCCCTTCAAATCAAAAAGATGGCAAAAATGCAGATTTTATGTATGCTATGAAATTATAATTTGATAGGCTCTTGGTGGAAGCGTAACAGTGTACTGGAAAAGCGCTTTTAGTAATACCTGAAAAGTTTAATATGCTGTTGTACCACAAATAAAAAGCACTGTTGTGATTTCGTGTAATGAACGAACTCTAACTGGTAGTTAGGTGTAATCTAATATGTTTTTACAGGAATATACCGCAGCGCCCAAAGGGATTATCACCGGAAAGCTAACAAATTATTCCAAATCATTCACGCTATGCTACTGTGTATCCGATTTCATTCTTGGACTATTGTTGGATAGAAGGATTATATGAAACATAAATTACCGTACAACGTTTACATTTTAACTTCGCTATCTTGATCGGACATTTGCGAATTGATGTATGACTATACTCCGTGTCATCGTACGATGGACTAAAGCCCAGTGGTACAGGCCGCTGGGTCCAATAAGGAACCCGATAAAGCCACGTGATTTGTTTGCTGACTGCGTACGCTTGCTACTACTGAAGACTACTGAAGGGACTAAATATCATCTGAATGCGATGTGATGAAGAGAACCCGCGATAAGAACCAGTGGTCATTAAGAAATGAAGATGAATCGGATCGAGTGTTCGACAAGGAAGCGTATGTTCGGAGTACGTGTGTACGGGCGATACGGGTCCATGTGCGTTCGCAAAGATTGCATTGGATTGGCTAAACGACTTGCGCCCTCAAGCTTCTCCAAACTGTTGACGTGTTTACGAAATATGGCATCAATGTTTATGAGACTGAATACCGTGTACCTTTCCTTCACGAATATAAAATAGCGTCCTTTCAAAACAGAGAGCCATTTGCGAAAAATTAGTGCTTTTTGTACTATGCGTATCGAAAGTTCTCTCGCGCACTCTTTTGAAATCCGGATGCGCGCTTTGCTGAGGTCGTGCCTTGGCCTTCGGGCACCAATTCATCGCAGGTTAAGATGGAGTTTAGTACAAAACTTACTCTTTTCTATTTTAGTTTTGTTTGAGTATATATTATACATCAGTATTAACCAAAGGCACTTTTGACAGAAATACCCTGGCCTAATTGAAATGTACTCATGCTTTCGTAGTAGCAGGATGTTAAAAAAAAAAGTCGTGGATGTTTTTTGAGTACTTTGTAAATCCTAGGTACGTTCCCCCAGAAATATTTTCAGTGGAATGTACGCCGAAGAACTAGATTTCTTCACCTAACGCTACAAGTTAAATATTTATAGATTAAGCGCAAAGGAATGGAAAGTGTTATCTCGTAAACTGCACATGGTAGCACGTCCAAACGCCCACTGCCATTTTCCTGCTATTACTCCAGCTGAGAATTCGATTAAGGTCACATTGTGTAATGGTGTATTCTGAATAAATGTCAATATTTCGGTAAACCATAAAGTCATCAGTGTACAGCCGGAAGATTGAAAAATACATCATTTGGGAGTTCAATAATAGGGATTAAAAACTAGAGAGGTCCCAAAAAGAAAGGTTTTGGTTTTTCAAGAAGAAAACGCCAACGCCGGGAAATACCAACGGTGGCATCAACTCTTTATGATTCCTTTCCTTTAACTAAAATTGCCGTAAAGTTCCAAGAGAACTCACGCCCCCGAGTGGGAACAATATCCGAGAGGAATAGCACCAAACGCAGAATTCGCTGTACCGGCAGGTCTGACAAATGTGGCAGGCGAATTTGTAGAAGGTTACCGCGCGTTTATTGCACCATAAAATTGCACCTGCTGCGTCCGCAACCTGCGGTATCCTTTCCCGTGGCACAGGTGTTCGTAGTAAATTCCCGCGTGTTTATCGCATCGTGAAACGCGAATTTGCCGTGTCCGTGATCTGCGGTATCAGTTCCCGCGTCACGTGGTTTGTAGCCAGTGCCAGGGTATTTTAACATTAATTCTTTATGAAGTTTTGCTGTGCCACCGTTAAAGATAGCCCACTCCATGTTTTCACCATTTAATTCTTCATTTTGAGTGGGCGTTCTTTCGGAACGTTACGGTACACGCAAGCAGCTTGACACGATGTGGATAGACAGAAACCTCTAAAATGGTCGTATTCTTTTATAATATTAGCCTTAGGTGTTTTGAATGACAACTTTACTAGTCGCTCTTACGTTCAGTGTGTCCCCATCCAGCAACATACATGGGAACCTCACTATCTGGATTGTCATTGATGTCGGGCAGACAAACTGTTTTAAGTGTCTCTGAACAATTCACATGTCTTTTCAGTGTTATGATGGCAATGTCAGTCTAAAAAAGAGAAAGGTACAAGTGATTTGATATAATTCTAAATATAATGAGAACAATGTTACATACTTTCAGATTAGGATATTGCGATACATAAAAATTTAATTTAATATTAGCCCTGTGCATGAAAAAATCGGCGACATTCAGAATAATAAAAGTTTTAATTGGGCAATTCTGGAGGAGGATAAAACTTCAATATTTTGAATGTTTTCCAGAATTCGTTTATAGCCCTAGGGATGAAAGAACCATATGCGGTTTATTAAAGAGGCATAATTTATACTAACTATTTTTTGCTCTATTGATTCAAATTCCACGAGAGGATGCAGAAGTAGAGGATAAAGCCAGAACAAAACACGTACGTACTTTTTAGTGTCGTCAATTAGACAGCTACCAAGCACTATTTGAGCAATAGAGAAGTGTGAAGTAGGAAACAAAGTTTTACAGAAAATATTGAAACAATCATTGCACATTGTACTTAGCAGATTTTTCCACATGAAGGCAATGCATTTATGTGTACACTCGTGATACTAATTTCAGCTGTGCTCCAGATTGCCACTCACTTTGCAAGCTCCGAAAACAAAATAAATTATTTACGTTCGGCAACAAGCCGTGGTGCGCTAAGCACCATTCTTTCCGGACGACACGAATTCTCGCCAGTAAATAAGTTGTTGATTTTGAGTTTGGCAACCCTGGAGAATTTTTTCCAAGCCCATTTCCAAACCCCTTTTGACAGAATAGTTGTTTGATCGTTATTGTTGATTAGAGGATGGATGGATTAATGGTTAGGCTATTCTAACAAGTTCTCAACTCACATAATTAAATAAGTTTGAATTGTTTTTTGTCAAGCATTTTATCATATTATAGTCCTCATGAAAATGTTTTTATAATATTTACACAAGGAATTTATAGTAATATTAGCTTTTTATTACACCGGAAGGCTGCTGGCTTTCATTGGAAGGCGCGATATTCTCAAAGGGTAACGAACAAAGTAAAACTTTGGTGGTAAAGGCATGGTGGTTTACGCAAAACCGGTTCACACCCTTGCGTTTTTCTGGAACCATGGGCGTTGTGCAGACTTGCGCTCTCTTGTGACAAGACAACACGGTGCCTGGAACTCAGGCGCCATTTATGAGATAGCACTGAAACTGCATTTAACTAGTGTGAAGGTTTCGCAATATTTGCGATATTAATTGTATGCTCTATATACAAGAAATTGTCCTTCACAACATTATTAAACGTATGTTAAGCTCAAGTTGAAAAAAAGATGTACAAGTAAAGGGAATATGGGAACATTTTAAGCGATCCAGGGTTCCCGGTTTGTTGACGTCACTGGTCAGTTAATGAAAAAACGGTTAAAGTGCTGTTAAACTGGTCAGCGTGTTCTTTCGTCATAAGCGAGCACAATTGGACGCACAATGTTGTTTAACACACTTAGCTGCAGTCAAACGCAAGTTCGGAAACCAGCCTATCGAATCTGCGCAGCGTTACCTGAATTTAGTAACTGCGTCAATAGGGCATACGAATCTCAAAACATAGCCCTAAAGCTGCCGTAAAACCAACGAAAATTCCTCTCTATGCTTCCAGAAGATCTTACAGAAAACCTAGATTTGAGAGAGGGAGCAACTTGAAGCATGCACAGCGTTTGCAGTTTAATGGCGGCCACTTCTTGTGCGGGTTGGCTGCACGTCGGCGTTTTCGCGTCAAGAGCAAGATAGCGGGCGGAAAGGCGGAATGGCTTGCAGTCGAACGACGCTTTCTCTAACTCCTTGCACATTAATTGGACTGTTAAACTTAACTCATAATACAAGTCACGTAATACCGAGTCATCAGTTTCAAGCGCTCTCAAATCCAGGCACGCGAAAAGCTTCATGATACCGGTTTCGCCGTGGGGCGGTTAATTCCCTACCACCCGAAGAGCGTGAACATTTCGGCGGGAGGTGCTACTTCGAATAAAGACTTACAGTGCCACCTGGTTAATGCAGGTCGCTCATAAAACTGGCAACGTCGCCCGTTGCAGCACAGATATGAGAGGTTTTATTATCTGACCCACCGAACTCGCTTAAACATTGCTTCTCGAGATAAAGGATTCGAATGTCCACAGAGGTTTCGATTTTTCTGTTCTAGCCTTTTGAACATTTTTTGAGCTGTTAGATAACTGGCATTTTTAGTCTTCCTTTTAGCGGTAACGTCACAAAAGCATTTCATAATAATATATGCAATCAGCGCATCGACTTTCCCGAAAGTGCATAATGTATGTAGCGTTGACGAGAAATAAAGTGAGGTTTACACAAATATATAGTATATGCTGCAGGAGCAGGTCATATCGATAGTTATTTTTAAAATTTTGTTTTTCTATAACAATTAGTAATTGAGTAGCTCAGTTAGTTTAATTAAGTTTGATTGGTATTAAATTTTATTGTCATCTTATTAAGGTAACAATTTTTCTGTGAGCGTTCATGCGGTCACTTGCCTCGAAAACGCCCTTTACAAATTGAGGGTGTATGCAGATGGTTTCAATTTCTTCCTTGAGTCCTTCTTTCTCTGCTTGCTTTCTGGAATAGCTCCCGAGCATAACGCTAAGGAATTTCTTGAATATGTGGCTGTAAATTGATTATACATAGCATTACTATTTCTGTGCTGACTCTCGACTTTAAAGGAACGTCATATAAACACCACCTGAGACCTAGTGCGTCCTCCTGATTGAATTTATTCACTAAAGAAAGCTGATCAGTACAAAAGTTTGGAAAAGACTACATTGTACTCCGCCAAATGTTTACGCGTTTCACGTGACGTCAGTATCTATGGCGCACATGTGTTGCTCGTCTCAGCCACTGGAGAGCAGCACCGCGGGTGCAAAGATGCGCTCCGATGACGCGTTGATACAAGCTGTTTTTTTTTTTTTAACTAATAATGCTGGCATTTTTTTTAGGCGTGCTTTTAGGAGAGCTGTTTTTTTTCGTATACTAGGCAATATACACTAAAGCGCTAAGGACAAGGACAAGCAAAAGACGCAGAGGACAAGCGCTGTACTCACAACTGAAGTTTAACTCACAACTGATCTTTAAATCATAACTTACGTTTAACTCACAACTGACTTTAACTCACAACTGACTTTTAGGTGTGAATCGCACGTAAGCCATTTAGCCATCGACGAGACTAGCGACGGCGATAGCGTCGGGAGTCAGCGACGAGCGACGAAGATTTATTACTGTCTTTTGCCGCGTCGCTCGGCTTCCGGATTGCTAGAAAAGTCGCTCACATCGTTAGTCACATGCTGCCGTTGCTTCCTTGCGGTATGCCTCCTCGCTCGACTGACCGAGTGGCAGCGAAGCGGGTCGCCGTCGCTTGCCTCGTCGCTCAACAAATCGCTTACATGCTGTTTATACTTTATACAGGCAACTGACATCGTCTTCTAGGTACGAGGTGCGAACTATGAGCCGTGTGCACACCACGGTCCTGAAAATACGGCAGTACTTTCAAGGGAAGTGTCACTTGCAGTTGGTTTTTCTTGAGTTTCGTATAACTGTTGATTATTGTTGATATAAAGAAACTATTTTAGACTGCTTTGGGATTTATTCATCGAGAACCTTACAGAATAGTACATCTAAAATTGCTTACGTCAGACAGTGAGCACTTGTCAACACATGTCGGGAGGTTATCAGGGCTCCACCGCAGCGGTGTCCGAATCCACCTCTAATTTCAACCATCCATGGCCATGCTCCGGGAGTCGCGTTAGTGCCGTTCAAAATGCGTTCACTTATCACAGAGTCTGGCGTTGTTGTAGCAAGTCCACAATTCTCTGAACGAAACGGATTCGAAACGTTTTATAGGTAATGATTACGTGGAGTTAGTAGGAGGGAATGCTTTATAGAAAGAAAATAGCCGAGCGGTACATTTAAGTGAGGTCCGGGATATAAAACAGAGTGCTATCAGAGGGGTTTTTAGATGAAAGTGTTTGACTCTCCATGGTTAACTATAATAAGGAGCACGAACTACTTACTTGGAATCGTAGCGTCAGAACATAAACGAGATGCTGTGTGTACGCTGTGACTACAAGGATTAGCCGAAACCTTAGTACATAAACTGAATAGAAAGTAAGTGAAGTATTCACATTTTTAACCAGAGTAGGAAAAGAGGACGGGGCAAGGTTCTTCCGACTCTCCTGTTTTAAAATGTCAGTTTTTAAACAGCTCGCCTGCACTCTTGCTTTAACTTTATTAAGTGAAGTATGGAACTATAATGTCTTTGCAAAACACTTTCAATGACGAGAAAAACGTTTGATCGCAATTGTTCGCCCCAAGTTCACCCCATTAAAAGTTTATTAATTCCTGTTTATTTATTGTTTTTTTAGTCACCTCCCGTATTATTGTGGTGAAGGTGCGGGGCACCGGATGCCCCTGTGGCGTACCCCTCCGAGGGCCCACAGGGCAAGTCCGACAACAAGCCCACGATGACCCAACGAAGGCACTACCAAGACCCGATTAAGTCGCCGCACCCAAGGCCAACATCCGGAATTGGGACGTTTGCTACCCAGCACCTCCACCAGATCGTCACGGGTGGTGTCAAAAAGACCAATAAATTAACAGGAATAAATAAACGTTTGATGGGGCGAACTTGTGACCAAAACAAAAAGAGAGGAGATGATAACAACAAAGCGTCGCGGGCGTCGAAGTCGGCCGAACAGCAGGATCGAACGTTGGGCATGACTGACCCCGACTCGCCACGAGGAGCACCTTATTTATCGGCGTGGGTTTCTTGAACATTCGGCCTAGAACGTTCGGCGCGTAGAACATTCGTAACGCGATGAGACGAGAAAGTTCTCAAACATGCGATAGTGAAAAGTAGAAAGAATAAATAAAAGAACTTTCCGCTACCTGGAATGAAACCCAGATCTTACACGCGACCGTTAACCGCGATAACCATTCGGCCACGCACGTTCTCGGTCAACTACGCGCGTGGCATTGTCTAATGTCTTGCCTGTGTAAATGGGAATATTTGTAAACACGCACCGATTGCAACCGCCGCTTCAACGGAATTCAGTGAACCAAGAATAATGCGAGCATATGCAGCAAGGCGGACGAGGAGATGATTCTGCTAAAATGCAGTAATCACTCAATTTCGTTGCAGCGGCTAGTTACCTCAGACTATGCGTTTCAAAGCCAGTCTACGGGTGACTGAATGGAAAGCGTCGAATAAACAAGGATTAAGAGGGGGACAGAGACAGAAAGAAACAGACATTGACTGTTAATACCGTCTGAGTGTTGGCTCAAAAAAAAAAAAATTAACATTGACTGTTAATACCGTCTGAGGTCACGTGACCTCATGGGGTCACGTGACCTCAGGGGCTCACGTGACCTTTGGGGGTCACGTGACCTCGGGGGTCACGTGACCTGAAGGGTCACATGACCTTAGGGGGTCACGTGACCTCAAGGCGGTCACGTGACTTCTGGGGGTCACGTGACCTCAAGGGGTCAGGTGACCTAAGGGGGTCACGTGACCTCAAGGGGGTCACGTGATTTCAGGGGTCACGTGACCTAGGGGTGTCACGTGACCTGGGTGGGTCACGTGACCTCGGGGGGGGTCACGTGACCTCGCGGTTACGCCGACGCCGACGGCGACGCCGACGCCGCTCAAGCCGGCAACGGGCCCCTAAGAGCTCCGCTCTAAAAGTGACTGATGACGTCATCAGTGACGTCACTGGTGACGTTATCGGCATCCGCATTGCCATCGTCATCGTCACTGATGACATCATCAGTGACGTCACTGGTGACGTTATCGGCATCCGCATTGCCGTTATCGGCATCCGTCACGTTATCGGATGCCGATAACGGCATCCGATAACGTCGCGTTATGGTGACGTTGTCGGCATCCGTCACTGATGACGATGTGATCCCGCCCAGGTCACGTGACCCGGGGGGGGGGGGGGCGGGCTCGCGCGGTGCATTATGGTACATTTCCCATAATGCACCGCGTGGTTACGCCGACGGCAACGGCGACGCCGACGCCGACGCCGACGGCGACGCCGCTCAAGCCGGAAACGGGCGCCTAAGAGCTGCGCTCTAAACAAAATAAGACGCGAGGAACATAATAATTATTAATCCTTCGCATTACCTCATGACATTACTGGTGGAGGTGCGTGCGGGGTACCGAAACCGATGAAGGACGCCTCTCCCAGGTCTCGCTGCGGAAGCCAAGTCCCGGGCTCAAGAAGACCGTCCGTGCAGACTACCGAGTCCTGAGCAAGCAGCCACACCAAAGGTCAACCAGCCCAGAATTTGGACGTCTAACGGATTCGTGAACTTATTACAGAAGAATAAGTCAACGAAACTATCAATGAGCCCACTGGGCCTGCAAGCGAAGACTCCCGCTGTTGCCTAAGGCGTCACCTGCCCGTCCCCCCTGGTACGCCGACGCCCCACGTACGCCGACGTCCCTTGTACTCCGACGCCCGACGTCAATGTCAGTCTAAAAAAGAGAAAGGTACAAGTGATTTGATATAATTCTAAATATAATGAGAACAATGTTACATACTTTCAGATTAGGATATTGCGATACATAAAAATTTAATTTAATATTAGCCCTGTGCATGAAAAAATCGGCGACATTCAGAATAATAAAAGTTTTAATTGGGCAATTCTGGAGGAGGATAAAACTTCAATATTTTGAATGTTTTCCGGAATTCATTTATAGCCCTAGGGATGAAAGAACCGTACGTAGTTTATTAAAGAAGGATCATTTTATTCATTATGTTTTACTTTTTTGATTCAAAATCCGCGAGATGATGCTAGAAGTAGAGGATAAAACAAAAACAAAACACGTACATACTTCATAGTGACATCAATTTGACAGCTACCAAGCACTCTTTGAGCAGTTGAGAAGTGTGAAGTAGGAAACAAGGTTTCACAGAAAACATTTAAACATTCATTACACATTGTACTTCGCAGATTTTTCCGCGTGAAGTCAATACATTTCTGCATGTACACGCATGATATTACTTTCAGCTGTACTTCAGATTGTCTCTCACTTTGCAAGCTCTGAAAACAAAAGAAAAAATATTTATGTTCGGCAATAAGCAGTGGTGCGCTAAACACCATTCGTTCCGGACGATACGATTTCTCGCCAGTAAATAAGTTGTTGATGTTGAGTTTGGCAACCCTGGAGAATTGTTGCCAAACCCTTTTCCAAACCCCTTTTGGCAGAATAATTGTTTGATCGTTATTGTTGATTAGTGGATGGATGGATAAATGGATAGTTCATTCTAACAAGTTCTGGACTCACGGAATGAAATATGTTTGAATTTTTTTTTGTCAAACATTTCATCATATTATAGTCGTCATGAAAACGTTTTCCTAATATTTACACAATCAATTAAATATTAATACTAGCCTTTTATTACACCGGAAGGCTGCTGGCTCTCATTGGAACGCGCGATATTCTCAAAGGGTAACGGACGCAGTAAAACTTTGGTGGTAAAGGCATGGTGGTTTACGCAAGGCCGGCTTACACACACCCTTGCGTTTTTTCTGCAACCAAGGGCGTTGTGCAGACTTGCGCTTTCTTGTGACAAGATAACACGCTGCCTGGTACTCAGGCGCCATCTATGAGGTAGCACTGAAACTGCATTAAGCTAGAGTGAAGGTTTTGCAATATTTGCGATAATAATTCTATGCTCTGTATACAAGAAATAGTCGTTCACAACATTGTTAAACGTATCTTAAGCTCAGGTTGAAAAAAGGATGTACAAGTAAAGGGAATGTCCGAACATTTTAAACGATCCAGGTTCCCCGATTGATGACGTCACTGGTCAGTGTGTTCTTTCGTCATAAGCGAGCACAATTGGGTGCACAATGTTGTTTAACACACTTGCTTGGAGTCAAACGCAAGTTCGGACACCAGCCTAGAGAATCTGCGCAACGTTACCTGAATTAAGTGACTGCCTCAATAGGGCATACGAATCTCGAAACATTGCCCTAAAGCTGCCGTAAAACCAACGAAAAATCCTTTCTATGCTTCCAGAAGATCTTCCAGAAAACCTGGATTTGAGACAGGGAGGAACTTGAAGCATGTAGAGCGCTCGCAGTTTATTGGCGGCCAATTCTTGTACGGGTTGGCTGCACGTCGCCGTTCTCGCGTCAAGAGCAAGATCGCGGGCAGAAAGGCGTAACTGCTTGCAGTCGACCAACGCTATCGTTAACTCCTGGCACATTAATTCTACAGTTAAACTTAACTCACAATACAAATCACGTAATACCGATTCACCAGTTTCAAGCGCTCTCAAATCCAGGCACGCGAAAAGCTTCATGATACCGGTGTCGCCGTGGGGCGGTTACTTCCCTACCACCCGAAGAGCGTGAACATTTCGGCGGGAGGTGCTACTTCGAATAAAGACTTACCGTGCCACCTGGTTAATGCAGGTTGCTCATAAAACTGGCAACGTCGCCCGTTGAAGCACAGATATGAGAGGTTTTATTATTTGACCCACCGAATTCGCTTAAGCATTGCTTCTCGAAATGAAGCATTCGAATGTCCATACACGTTAAAATTTTTCTGTTCTATAGTCTTTAAACATTTTTTGAGCTGCTAGATAACTGGCATTTTTAGTCTTCCCTTTAGCGCTAACATCACAAAAACATTTCATAATAATATAGACTATCAGCGCATGGACTTTACAGAAAGTGCATAATGTATGTAGCGTTGACGAGAAATAAAGTGAGATTCAGACACATATATAGCATATGGTGCAAGAGCAGGTCATATCGATAGTTATTATTTAAATTGCTTTGTTTTTATAACAATTAGTAATTGAGTTGTTCAGTTAATTTAATTAAGTTTGATTACTATTAAATTTTATTCACAACATATTGGTCAGGTAACAATTTTCATGAGAACGTTCATGCGGTCACTTGCCTCATGTATGTCCTTTTCATATTGAGGGTATATGCAGATGGTTTCAATTTCTTCCTTCAGTCCTTCTTTCTCTGCTTGCTGGCTCGAATAGCTGCCGAGCAAAACTGTAATGTATTTCTCGGGTGTTTCGCTGTAATTTGATTATACATAGCATTAATATTTCTATGTTTACTTTCTACTTTAAAGGGTAACTGCAAAGAAAAAAAAGTTTTTTTTTAAATAGCCTAATTTGGACAAGCATGTCAAAAAACAATTTTTCCGCGAGAAAAAACATTTTTTACAGCAATATTTAGTGCGTGAGACTCATTTTAGTTTGCGGCTATTTCGTCCGTTTTAAATCGCGCGCCACGAAGTTGTGATTATGTGACGTCAATCCCAAAAGGTTCTCATTGGCTAAGAGTGTGATTGACAGCTTAGATCGTGGTTGTTAAACCTTTGTTATATGTTGCAATTTCCTTTTGAGCGGCCTATTTTTACGTTTAAAGAATAACCCATGTGATGAGAGCTATTATTCTTTACAAAAGGTTTACGAGACGGGCACTTCCGTTTGGATTCATACAAACAAAAGCTTCGCCATTCTTTCATGGCCGCCGAAGTCTCTGCTCCCGCCTGTCTCGCCTACCTCGACTAATCGTTTCGCCAAAGTGATCAGTGTTTCGTCGTTTCGTGCTGACCCAGGTGCTTGAGTGAGACTTCTTGAAGTGAAGTAGTGTGTGTTTAGCAGCTGTCGCAGGTGTTAGTGATAGGAAGCGACGCGGGGTTTTGGCTTTCATAGCGCGGTTCTTTCGTTTTTCTCTTTGCTTGCTTAGCGTGCTTTTTTTTTTGTTTGTTTGTTTGTTTGCGCGTGCAAATGCTGACTTTTCGGAGATGTCAGATGCGTGATCCCGACAGTGAGCCTTCCAGCAGCCATGTCGCCCCAAAAGGAATGCTATTTGGCTGGAGGCAATCGAGCGTTCGCGTAGCGACCGACGTGTCTAGTTACGTTCTCGTCATCGCTCTGGAGGCCGTCGAGATTCGCCCCGTGTGCACCTAACGTCCGCGACTAGACACAAAATAAAAAAGCGCTATGTCCACTACGGAAAAATGGTCTCAGTTCATGCATCTGTAGGCAGGTACGAAATCGTGCCCAAATTTATTCATACCGCACGATGCAACACGTCGCTGTGCAAACGCAGTCCAACACGAAGCATAAAAACGGCAGATTTAGAACAACAATTCGGAGTCCATTGTTCAATTAAAACGACGTAATTTTGTTGAAAACGCCCGCAGCTTTTTACTCACGGTATGCGTCGGGAAACTTCCACATTTTGAAACAGAACGAGGCAGATTTACTTTTAAAAACGCTCCCAGCGTCCTCCCGGACCAGTTTGACTGGATCAGCTGACGACGACGGGACTTAACTGGTTGAACGTCAACCCCACAACAACCAATTTGCGCTCCGTGTTAGCACCGCATTACACACACCACGAACATTTCAGCTCTGTCGCATCGTTGTGTTGCACCAAACAGAACGAGATCGCCGAAAAAACGCAGCAATTTCGTAAACCTTGGCTTGTGGTTGCGCACTCGTGGATTCTGTGACTCCCTTCGCTTTCAAAGCGCGCACGACGATTACGAACGATACTTTCCGTCTTCCGGGAACATCACAGGGGCACTTCTCCGGTCACGTCTTCGCTACATGTGCTCGCAAACCATAGAGTAATATACACAAGGTAAAGAGCGGACACTGCCATAGGCCCCAGCGGCCCAGATAGACCAGTGACAGGTAGCGCTCCTAGCGGGCGGTAGGAAGTGTAATCTGATTCCGTTTCCGGTCAAGTTAGTTTCGGTTTCGGTTTGGGCGTTTCTGCCCCGGTTCTCCGGTACCCTTCTCTCTCTCTTTCCTCCCCGCCTCGCTCGGCTCTCGGGAGCTCCTTGACTCCCAAAGCCGCTGTGTTTTTTTTTTTTTTGTTTTTTTAATACTGACGCACTTTTGCTTTATTTTTTACGATAGAGTGCGTGCAAAATGTATCAAACAATATTTCATTTTACTTCACAAAGCATAAGTATATATATTTCTTGTTCTTTTTCTATTGTAAAGCATTGAAGTTACACAATCGCCGCATTGACTCCTGGCTGGTGGAGCATTGTGGGGTCAACAACAGTAAGTGGTTCGAACACATTTTATTGGACCACATTCATGTATACATGATTTACTTCAGAAGCTCTGTATGTTTTATACGAAAGAGATCGATACTCACAAAAATAAATTAATATGAAGGACTTCGGCATATCGTACACTTCGTAATAGATTCTTAACGGAACCAAGTTAACAAAACCTTTCCACGGAGAACATGCTGTATGATACATTCACTTTCACGCCGACTCGGGTACGGGAAGTAAGTGCAAAAATAAATAAGACATCGCTATCATTACCAGTCATAAGAGTATAATAACAGTGCGAAGCACACGCCGGATAGTACAAATTCCCGATTTCCGGCAAATATAAAAAAACACCAATTTGCATAGCCTCAAGCCATTACCAAACAAAGAGAACTCTATTCGAAATCTGACAAGATTCAACGTCCCTAAACATTTCCCGAAATTGTTCAGAAAAGAAATATGGCTTCAGAAAAAAGCGGCTAAAAGACTATGGACAGTGGATACAAAAGTGGATACATTTTCTTTCAAATATTTTTAGCCTCTATACACTATTTTCTATCACAATTTTGTAGAAAGTGGACAAATATTTTTGTTAGCGAGCCGTGATACGCATTCGCTGGAAAAAGGGGAAACAAATATTTGGAGAGCAAGCTGCACCGCCCACTTAAGCACTTTTTGTTTTTGGTTTGGCAACCGCCTCTGTTAATACACTATTAACAGTTAAACCTGTCTCGTTCTTATTAACCACTGAAGTGTGCAACCGAACTTTGTCCAAATTCCGGTTAAGAAATCAAACATGTCAACACAAGCGTATTCTGCAAAACAACTTTAAAAACCCTTTGTGGTACTCCTCTGGGCAAAGGCTAAAACCACCCAGACCTCAAAGTGTGCTATACAAGGCGGCACAGACTCCTCGAACATGTGTCACACTCTCTATTATAGGAAGAAAGTCATTTTCTAGTTGCTGAATAAAATGAAAGGCAGCCTGTGATGGTACTACTAAGTTCCCGAAGAATTTTCCAGGCACGTGGTATGCTTTAGGAACAAGACAGTACTGGTGAGGCCTGGTCAAGTTATTAGACTCATCCGATAGCAGCTGAGAACAGCCACAGCTGTAAGTTGTCTGCTCAAGCAAAAGCTTGATCAAATAGCCCCAAACGTAATAAAAAAAGTGGACGAGTCATCAATTATGTTAGACCTGATGTCTGATGCCAGCTCAGAAATATCCTCTAGTGGCGGGAAGTTATCAATTGGAAGACATTCCACAATGTCTGAAATTAAACTTTCATGGTGCAAAGATATTCGCAACTCCTTTAGGAGGTCAGCCTTGTCATCCTCTACGTTTTCATTGTCCGACAGTTTGAACAGTTTCTTTATCCAGAGGTGTTTTAGTCCTGAGGTGAACTGATCCACATTTGGGTTTGTGTTGCAGCCCAGCATTTGTCGTATATAGCTCCAAAAACGTTCTCAAGTGTGTCTTGCTGCAGGCGTCGTGTAAGCAAGAACTTCAAGTCATGGCTGCTTGAAAGCTCATCACAGAGCATGAGGAAACTTTTTATAGTAACTTGCCACCCAATGATGGCTTATGGCTGCCTCCTACTTTGGAACTGCCATGCTGAAATCCATCCGAGTTACTGGTGGAAAAAATCAAGTATTTCAGATTCTCCCTTCAGATTGGCATGATGCAACTTCTGCCCTGTCTTCTTGAATTTTTTAGCTATTTAGACAGTCAAAAGGTATGCACATCCTATCACAGAAAAAGGCTGTAGCCATGGCTGCCTCAGGAAGTTCCTTGGCATAAACAAGGGATATGATTGCAAGAAAGAGCAGACCTGTGGGGACAATTTTCTTCCATGTTACAGAAAGGTTCTTGAAAAAATGTTTCTCTCTGTAAGTTTCGGAGCCAATTGCAGGCTCATCTCATGGATAGAACAATAAAGTTCAACAAAGAAGACCACTCAATGACCTCATTTCGAATGCAAAGTTTGTGGGCTTGGAGATTGCTCTTGGTTGTTTTGGGAAGGTGTGGAACATCAAAGACAGAGTAAACGTGTTCGTTGTGAACTTCAAGAAATGGCTTATTACCACACACACCAAGCTGATGTTTGAAGCCCCCTAACCACAGACCACAGCCTTTACTGTAAAGCTAACAGACTTAAAGGGGCGATGCACTGATATTTTTTATTTTGCGCAAATACCGCTTAGAACGAACCCCTGACGTTAATGATCTGCGAAATACCCGTTCGTTTTCACCACACGCAATCGAAGTCGCAGAAAAAAAAATAAAGAAAAACGAGCAGAGTTCACCCCTCAACTCGAAGCCATAACAAGCGGCCCCGTGATCTGGAGCCGATTATATGCCGCCAATGTTGATCATAGCCATGCGCTGGGGTTGGCAAGGCACAGGACACGCGCTGAGTTCAAGACATTGTTATGGTTCGGCTGTTGTCGTCATTGCAGCGATTGGACACAGGACACTACCCGAATGTTTCTCGAGCTATCGATTATCATGAGTCCAAATCGAGTGTCCACGCCATGCTCGGGTCCAATCTATGAGCCGTATTCAAATATCGTCACTGGGTGGTACTGCTACCGCCCAGCTACGTCATCAGGTTTTTCGAAGGAGAGATTGAATGAAAACACTCGGTTTTGTCCTCGAACTTGCAGCGCAACAAAGGAGTTTCTTGGTCAGTGGCGTTGCGTGCGAATATCCTTGAGTCCCACTAGTGCCAGTAAGCTTGTGTAAAGTGAAGACCATTCCCATTGAATATCGTTGCACCGCCCCTTTAAAGGAGCGGTGCAACGATATTCAATTGGAATGTTTTTCTCTCTACACGAGCTTACTGGCACACCTGGGACTCAAGGATACTCACGCGCAACGCCACTGGCCAAGAAACTACTTTGTTGCGGTGTAATTTCAAGGACAAAAGCGATCATTTTCATTCAATCTCTCCTTTGTAAAATTTGATGACGTAACTCGGGGATCGC